CATTTGTTTCAAGTTATCTTTTGATTCCTTCCTTGATCTCACTCTTAGCCTTTTCATTGTTCTGTAACATGTTACTTAGCATCCATGCGTTTGTGTGGTTTTCAGGGTTTTTTTTCTTGTAGTTGATTTCTGTTTTCATACTATTGTGGTCAGAGAAGATGCTTGGTATACTTTCAGTCTTCTTAAATTTATTGAGACATGTTTTGTGGCTTAACATGTAGTCTATCCTAGAAAATGTTGTGCACTTGAAAAGAATATATATTTTGCTGCTTTCAGGTAAAATACTCTAAAAAATATATAAATTAAATTCATTTGGTCTAATATGTCATTTAAGGCTGCTTTGTCCTTCTTGAGTTTCTGTCTGGAAGATTCATCCATAGATGTCAATGGGGTGTTTAAGTCCCCTATTGTAACTGTATTATTGTCTATCTCTTTCTTTATGTCTATCAATGTTTGCTTTATATATTTAGATGCTCCTGTGTTGGGAACATAAATGTTTACAAGGGTTATATCCACTTGTTGGGTTGATATAATGGACTTTGTTTTAAAGTCTATTTTTTCTGATATAAGCATTGCTACCCCAACTTTTTTTGTTGTTTTGCATGGAATATTTTTCTCCATTTCCTTTCAGTTTATGAGTCTTTCAATCTGAAGTGGGTCTCTTAAAGTAACTATTGATAGTACACAGTTATCATCATTGTATTATTTATATTTATAATCTTTTTCTTCTTCCTCTTCTTCCTCTTTTTCTTCTTTCTCCTCCTGCTCCTCCTCCTCTTCTTCTTTCTTCTTCTTTCCTCTTTTTTCTTCTCTCCTCTTCTCTCTTCTTCTTCTCCTTCTTCTTCCTTCTTGCTTCTTCTTCTCCTTCTCCCTTTTTCTTCTTTCTGCTTCTTGTCCCTTTAACATTTCTTATAATACTGGTTGAGTAGCTTTTACTTATCTAGGAAGGTCTTTGTCTCTCCTTCAGTTTTAAGTGAAAGCCTTTCTGGGTAGAGTAGGCTTTAGGTCCTTGCTTTTCATTTGTATCACTTTAACTATTTTGTGCCAATCCTTTCTGGCCTGAAAAGTTTCTATTGAGAAATCATCAGACGGTCTTAAGGGAGCTCCCTTGCAGGTAACTAAGTGCTTTTTTCTTGCTGTTTGTAATATTTTCTCTTTGTCTAACCTTTGGTATTTTAATTTACAATGTATCTTAGTGTGGGCTTCTATGGGTTCATCTTGTTTGGGACTCTGCCCTTCGTGGATTTGTATGTCTTTTTTCTTTGCCAGGTTAGGGAAGATTCCAGTCATTATTTCTTTAAATAGGTTCTCAATCCTTTGTGCTCTTCTTCTGGTACCCCTCTGATGTGAATGTTGTTATGTTTGATGTTGCCCCAAAGGTCCCTTGAACTATCCTCATTTTTCGTTATTCTTTTTTCTTTTTGCTATTCTGATTGGGTATTTTCTATTACCTTATCTTCCAAATTGCTGATTTGATCTGCTGCTTGATCTAATCTGCTGTTGATTCCTTCTAGTGTATTCTTCATTTCTGACTGGTTCTTCTTTTATGATTTCTATATTCTTTTTTATGCTTACTATCACTTTGTTAAAGTTCTCACTGAGTTCATTTATTCTTCATCTAAGGTCCTTGAGCATTCTTATGACCAGTGTTTTGAACACTGTATCTAGTAGATTACTTTCCTCCATTTCATTAAGTTCTTTTGATGGATATTTCTCCTGTTCTTGTATTCTGGACATGTTTCTTTGTCTCCTCACTACCTTTTACGTTTGTTTCTATGTATTAGGTGTATACTAGTATGCTACATCTCCCAGTCTTGGCAGGGTGGCATTATATTGTAGATGTCCTGTGGAGCCCAGTGGCACAGTCTTCCTGATCACTTAGCAGGTGCTTTAGGAGTGTTTGTGTGGGTTGGGTATGCTCTCTGTTGTAGTTGGGCCTTGATTGCTATTGACATGCCAGTGGGTAGAATTGAACCTCAGGCTAACTGACTGTAAGGATTGGCCACGGCCATAGCGTACAAGCTACTGTACAGGGGCTAACTCCATGGAGTAGGATTTGCCCCAGTGGGGTCTGTTGCCTGCCAAGATCTTATTTTAGGTGTGCTACTTGTGGAGCTAACCCGGTGGTGTTCTGTTGTGGTCTGATGCCAGCCAACAAGTATGTTGGTTCTGGGGCCTCTTGGGAGGGACTTTATTGCAGGTCAATGTCAAATGCTACCTGTGACTGGCCCAGCGCTACTTATTAGGAGCTTCAAAATGATCTGCCATTGGTAACTGCCTGTGCTGAGCCCGGATGCTCGTGGGAGGGACCACACTGAGAACCAAGGCTGGCTACCACCAGTACCGGGCCTGCGGTAGGTCTGCAAAAGGCCCCAGGCACCCCAAGACCTCCCATAAGATTCAGCTGATGAAAGAGCCTGCGGTGGTATGCAAGTTGGGTTGTTGCAGGATCTCAGGGAGTCACCAGGGTTAGCCCCAGATCTGGGCCTGCGGCCACTCAGCAAAAGTCTCAGGGTACACCAAGGCCAGCCACCACCCACCTGGGGCCTGCAGACCTTTGCAGTAGGACAAGGTCTCCAGTAGTCATCAAGCTGGAACTAGTGGAATTCACCAGGCTAATGCAGATTCAGATTTGGCCATGTGGAAGGAGGGCTCAACACAGCTGTCCCTCCAGCACTCACCCTGAAGCCATGCAACACAGTTTTTCTTTCTATGTGTCTGGCACCGCACCACCCCCTGAACTGGACAGAATTCCTTGAGAGGTTTTAAGAGAGACTGCAAAGCAGACCCAGGCTTGTTGCTGCTGAAAGAGCCTCCAACCACATCTCGAGTTGGCTACGATAGGGTCTCAGGGAGTCCTCAGAGTAGAGTCAGTACTGTTCACCAGGCTAATGCAGATTCAGATTTGGCCATGTCGGGGGAGGGCTTACCCCAGGAAATTCGATGCCCTTAGGCCATGCGGGATGGGGCTCAGCACAGAGACAATGGCAGCCGTTCCTCCAGCCTTGTCCTAAAGCAATGATGGTGAACCTTTTGAGCTCAGCGTGTCAGCATTTTGAAAAACCCTAACTTAACTCTGGTGCCGTGTCACATATAGAAATTTTTTGATATTTGCAACCATAGTAAAACAAAGATTTATGTTTTTGATATTTATTTTATATATTTAAATGCCATTTAACAAAGAAAAATCAACCAAAAAAATGAGTTCGCATGTCACCTCTGACACACGTGTCACAGGTTCGCCATCACTGTCCTAAAGCCACACTACTCAGTTTCTCCCTGTACATCTCTGGCACCTCCCTGAGCTTGACCAGAATTTCTCCAAAGTTTTTTAAGAAAGACTGCAACGCAATTCTAGGCTGGTTGGTTCTGAGAGAGCCTCAATATGTACAAGTTGGGTTGGGGAGAGGGTCTCAGGGAGTCATCAGGGTGGAGCTAATGGAGTTCACTAAGCCAGTGTAGATTTAGATTTGGCTGTGTGGTGGGAGGACTCAACACAGGGACAATGGCAGGAGTCCCTCCAGCTCTCCCCCAGAAGCCACACAACTCAGTTTCTCCCTGTTTGTCTCTGGTGGACTTCTTCATCCTCTGTCTTCTTTGGAGCCGAGCCCATGGTGAGTACCTGTGAGCGAGAGTTTGTGCACTGGCCCTTTAAGAAGATGCCTGGGTTCCCAGCACCAATTCTGTCTCATCCCAACAGATGGAATTCCCACTGATTATCACAGACAGATGTTATGTGGACTCCTCTTCCTGACACTGGTGTTCTGGGCTGGGGGACCAAGCATGGGGCCCAGTCCCCTCATTCCTCAGGGGAAACCTCTGTAGCTAAGATAACCCTCCAGATTCTCAAGCACCACACGTGGGTGTGAGAGCCAGCCCACTTCATTTCTCCGCCCCTCCTGCCAATCTCTACATGGCTGCTTCTTTATATTCTTAATTATAGGACTTCTGTTCAACTAGTCTTCAGATGGTTATCCAAGTTGCTTGTTCTATAATTTAGTTGTAATTTTGAAGTGGTCATGTTGAGGAGTGAGTGCAGTGCCCACCTACTGTGCCTCTTAATCAGAACCTCCACAAAAATGCTTTTTTGTTACCTTGATTCTATTTATTTCCTCTGAGAAAACCAAGCAGTCATATGAAGAAGCTACATGGAGATGTTCCAACCAGTAGCACCAGATGAAATTCCAGATGACAGCCAATATCAACATATGGCCTTTTTTAGCTGACTATACCAAAATGTGAGCAGAGAAGAAGAAAAAAAAAAACTACAATAACATGGAAAGAAATCTATAAAAGAGATAGGACCCTTTAAGTTAAAAATAAAACTGTTTCTCATTTTTTTCCAGATGGCAGAAATTCTGCAAGTAAAAAAAGTAAAAGGTTTCCATCATATTAAAAATACCTTAAATAAAAATGTTTTCTACTTCAGATTGTTTTTTGTGTCTTATTTTGGCATTTTGAAGATTTATAAATTATAAAATGAGTTGAGGTAGATCTAACTTCATTTATCAGTTTTTAAGGCCTATTTTCCCCATATAATTGACCCTACACAAGTTCTATATTTAAGAATATAAGAATAACTGATTTCCTCACAGAGAAAAAGTCAGTAAACAAAGCATCTAGTATAAATTATTATAGATTTCTTTTTTTAAGTATAAAAATTACAATAAGTTCTAATTTTTAGTTTTTTTAATTTACAGTTAAATTAGTAATGTACGATTCATACTGGTATTTGATACATGGAAATTGTCTTTTAATTGATTAAATGTGATATAAACTTTGAAATAACATATGTGAAAATTCAAATTCAGCCAGTACTAATTTATGGTACATTTAGAAGATTATTAATTTTTGAAATACGCATAATGGGCAAATTGTTACTCTCTTAAGGTTCTAACCACCTTTAACCAATTATAGGTCAGGTTACATATTTAATACTTTAAGTGGCTTAAGTTTTTAGAATATAAAATTTAAATTTATTTCTCTTTTTCTTTCATCAGAATACAGTCGTTTTGAAGCCAAAATACATGACTTACGGGAGCAAATGATGAATAGTAGCATTAGTTCAGGATCAGGTTCTCTTCGAACAAGCCAAAAGCGATCCCTCTATGTCAGGTAATTTTTTTTTTTAATTCTAATTATGGCAAGTCTTAATTATTTATGAATGTAAATTCTTTCAGGATTTTCACTATTACTGACTTAGTTTTGCTATAGAAAAATAAATTGCAAACCAAGGAAAATTTTTTTACGGTTGATTTCCTGATCTTTCAAGAATTGGAATATTGTTATAATTTAATTAGTGATATTTATATAACCCCTTGAATAAAAATAGTAAAGAAAAACAAAATAAACATGGACGAAAAAAATTTTAAGGTGGTTATTTTACTGAATCAGTATTGTAGCTTGATGTGTCATATCATCCAACACTAATATTTACCTATGTTCTTTTATAATAAAATATTCTTCATTTGAGTAACAATTACCTTGGCAATTTTTATAATAGCAAAGAGAGCATATATAAAAGAGGAACAAATGTAATCAGAACAATAAAGATTTAATTTAAAAAAAAAGAGAGAGCATATATAAATAATAGCTTCAAATGTGAATAATACCAGCAAAAGAGTACAGATTCAGGAAATTTCTACATGCATTTTTTAAACACTTGGGAGAAAATCATTTTTCTATAACATAAGATTAATGTGGCAGCATAAATCTAATAATATTATATTGATATCATTAGTACATAAATTGTTCTTTTGCGTTTCTTTGGCTAATACGACAAATATAGATATCCTGTTTATTTGTATTTTGTATCCTTTTTTAGTATAGCCTTTACTTAGTACTTTATTATACTACCTAAGCCAGCAGTCGGACATCCTTAGTGCTGCTGCAGAGGCAGGAAAGGCTCCTGCCACCATCACTGCGCTGGCCAGCCATGAGCCCGGCTTCTGGCTGAGCAGCGCTCCCCCTGTGGTAGCACACTGACCACCAGGGGGCAGCTCCTGCATTGAGTGTCTTCCCCCTGGTGGTCAGTGTGCATCATAGCGACCAGTAGTTCTACCATTCAGTCAATTTTCATATTAGCCTTTTATTATATAGGAATTGTTTTAACTTTAGATAATTACTACAAGTAGTCTGTATTATTCTGTGTAATTATTCTCTCATTTCTTTTGGTTATATTGGGGAGCCTATTTCTAATATGTTTTATTCTTCTGATGAGAAATGAGATATATGACATAAAATATACATGTATCCTATATATGTTTGGGTATGTTTAAATATATCAATACAAACAAGCATGTACTCTATACTTGTTTATATATGATATGACTTATTGTCTCAAAGAATTTTATTCTATGATACATAATAAAAGAAAGCTTTTTTCACTTTCTTCTCATGTTCTATTCCTACCCCTTTCATTCCTTCTACCCTGCCAATGATCTGGAATTCCTAAATGTATCAAATTGTTCTCTCTTTCCACTAATTCTAGCAGTATTTATTAAACTCTTCTGATCCAAAATTGTTAAAAGTATTTTATATGTAGATACCCACAAAAAATGTAAAAATACAGATTTGTGTTTATATTCTTTTTTCTTTTTCTTGCTTATCTATATTTTCTAAGTTTAATGTAATTAACAGGTATTACCTTTAATATCTGATTTAATAAAAACATAAAATTCAAAACATTAGGTTATATTTGTTTTAAGTACATTAATGAGTCATCTTCACTTTTTATTAATTTTTACTTTTAGAGAATACTTTATTTTTATTAATTATATCAGATTTATAATGAAAAATAACTGCAACTGCCCTAACCGGTTTGGCTCAGTGGATAGAGCGTCGGCCTGTGGACTGAAAGGTCCCAGGTTCGATTCCAGTCAAGGGCATGTACCTTGGTTGTGGGCACATCCCCAGTAGGGAGTGTGCAGGAGGCAGCTGGTTGATGTTTCTCTCTCATCGATGTTTCTAACTCTCTATCCCTCTACCTTCCTCTCTGTAAAAAAATCAATAAAATATATTTTTAAAAAAAAGAAAAAGAAAAATAACTGCAACCTCCCAGCAATCCCTAGAATTTCATTCCCTAAAACAGTCATCCTCTGTTTTCCTAACAAATTCCCTTGCCTTTACCTCCAAATCTATATATATAAAAAGCCAGCAACCAGAACACCATAATGACCAGAAGGACCAGTCGCTATGACGCCCATTGCGGCCAGAGAACCTGGCCTGATCAGGGGTGGGGCTGGCTATCCAACCCCCTCACAGCCCTTACCCCCAGCCAGCCCCTCCCCCGATTGGCCCACCCCACCCTGATTGGCCCGCAGCCCCTCACCCCAGCCGGCCCCGCCTCTAATCGCCCCCCTACCCAAATAGGGGGTGGGGCCATCTGGCCAACCTCCTGCAGCCCCTCCCCCAGCCAGCTCCGCCCCCAATCGGCCCCCCCACTCCTATCAGGGGCAAAGCTGGTGGCTACCGCCCACAGCCCCTCCTGCAGCTGGCCCTGCCCCTGATCAGCCCCCCTGCATACCGGTTGGGGCAGAGCCAGCTTGCCCAACCTTCCATGGCCCCTCCCCTGGCCGCTGACCCCCAATCAGCCCCTCCAGCATATTCGGGGGCAGGGCCAGCCAGCCCACAGCCCCTCCGCACGGCCAGCCTGACCCCCAGTCAGCCCCTTCACCCCAATCTGGGGCGGCGCCCACTGGCCAATCACCCACCGCCCCTCCCCCCCTGCCAGCCTGGCCCTGATCAGGCCCAATTGGGGTGGGCTGGACGGACCCCACCCATGCACGAATTTGTGCACTGGACCTCTAGTTTTTAAATAATATGCACATACTGCTGTTTTCTAATTTACCAAGTTTGGACAGTATATACTTACTGCCTTGGTAGACAAGAACTTTCTCATACCAAACCACTCATTCTATCTCTTTCCCTATTGCTCAAACATAATCCTATCACTTCTAATAAAATTAATAGCATTTAGAGTCTTGTGACTATTTAATACCTGTCATTACATAGTCAAGCAGTTTATTATGACCACACTTCTTTTTTTCTGCAACCCTTCATATTTCCTGGACTTAATAGTTGTCTCATTTTGATTTGCCTAATTTTTCCTACACTTACTATTAAGTGTCTTCCTTTGTCCTTACTAATCTCTTAGAGTTTGTTACATGATGAAACATATGGTCCCACATACGTTCTTATCAGTTCAGTTTTTCCATCTTTCTGTTCCAACCTGGACTATTTGTTCTATAGACTTGCTGGATAGCTCTCACCTGGGACTTGCCTTTGCCATTATCCTATTCCCTTTAGCTCTGTACTGTGTCAGTATGTTTCCTACATTCCACAATTTCTTCTTTCTCAATTTACTTTTACCTATTTTGCCAAGTACATCCTCTAGTAAATTCCTGACAGAAAGGTGTGGGAGGTATTTTTTGAGTCTTAACATGTCTGAAAATGGCTTTATTTTGACTTCTCCTTGATGGAGAATTTGGGGTGTTTTCTTCTGCTTCTTGAATTCTCGGCTTTCTATTCTATTTTTTCTAGTTTTCTTGTTTTCTCGGGATTTTTTTTTCCTTTAGTTTTGTGTGAGTTTTTTTAATATGTGAGGCTATGTTTAAATGTTTAGTGATTCTTGTTTTCTATTCTTATGAATGGAGAATGAAGCTAGTGGATTTAACGGGAAGATTATTGAGTTTTTCTTTGCCCTCTTCCTCTCCATGTCATTCTTTCCTTTGGGGTCATTAAATATCTCTAGAGAAGAATTTTTAATCTCTTGCCTGGAGTATAAAACAGGTTGCTAGATTTCAGTTTTCAGTGTGCAGATTTCTTATTAACCCTTTGTTTTCCGCCCAACATCTTCCACCTTCCTACCACATTCTAAAGTACAGAGCTTTTGGAATTGAATTTCTCTGGAAACTAAACATCTTGCCTTCTATGGCTTTGAGAACAGAAAAAGGGACCCGGAGGGTCTAAGTGCTATATACAGTGTTTTCAACAGTTCTTCTGTTTTCATTATTGTAACTTATCTCTGCCTACCTAGAACTGTACATCTCTAATTCCTAAGCATTTCTAGGATCTTGTGGAATAAATCTTACTTCAATATCCCTCTCTTCAGGCACTCCATTTGGAGTTTCCTTCACTTTGCTAGGTTAAGTTACCGTCATCGCAAAAGGTGTTAAACCAATGATGGCGAACCTCTGACACGCGTGTCAGAGGTGACACACGAACTCATATTTTTGGTTGATTTTTCTTTGTTAAATGGCATTTAAATATATAAAATAAATATCAAAAATGTAAGTCTTTGTTTTACTATGGCTGCAAATATCAAAAAATTTCTGTATGTGACAGAGTTAAGTTAGGGTTTTTCAAAATGCTGACACGCTGAGCTCAAAAGGTTCGCCATCACTGTGTTAAACACTCTTTTCTTGTTGTTTCTCTTGTATTTGTCTATTTTGTTGGTTTGTTTTTTGGTCACTTTAGTGAGGAAATAGGCACATATAGCCTGTCTGCCATAGTTAACCAGAAGTCATATGATTCTTTTTAGTAATATTTTTAATTTCAAAAGTAAAAAATAGCCTGGCTGGTGTGCTCAGTGGTTACGCATCATGCCATGAACCAGGAGGTCACTGGTTCGATTCCTGGTTGGGCACATGCCCAGGTTGCAGGCTCAATCCCCAGTAGGGGGCGTGCAGGAGGCAGCTGATCGATGTTTCTCTCTCATCGATGTTTCACTCTCTCTATCCCTCTCCCTTCCTTTCTCTAAAAATCAATTAAAACATTTTTTTAAGTAAAAAATCCAAGTACAAAAGGCAACATACAATATGATACCATTTGTGAAGCTCTGGAACAAGTAAACCCATACATAATTACATAGTCATTTACATACATGTGATAAAACCAAATTTTAAAAAAAGGTGAGGGTTAAGGAACTAATAAACACTATATTCAAAATGGTGGTTACCTTCTAAGAGTACTTTACTCTTAATCTGCGGGAATCAGGATCAAGAGGAAAAAATACATTGGTGAACATGAGTTACTGCTAATGGTTTTGTTTATAGTCTTTTGTTGGATAGTAGATTAACAGATGTTTATTATACTCCAATGATCAATAACTCACATAGATATTCCATGGGTTCCGTTTTATGAATCAAATATATTAAAAGACAAAGCTTGAGTACAAATTAGGGAAGAGAGGTTGGGGGTGATTTCTTTTCTCCATTGCTCATTAATAATATTGTTATATTACTTTCGTAATTCAAAAGATTAATTTATGATAATAAAAATGTTCCAAAGTAGTATTTTCCCTTTTCTGAATGTCTTCTGGCATTTGTTCTACCTCTTAATGTACTTTATTTTCCTTTTCTTGTGTACTTTATTTTCTGTTTTATATTATGTTTATTTGTATCCTCATCATCTTTGTCATCTTTATCTTTGCCATATCTACTCCATTACCTTTTTAAATAAATATTTAATAAATGAGTGACTGTATCTAACTTTTGTATTATTTGAGGTCAGCTATATTTTTTAGTAGAAAGATAGTTCCTTAGAGTTCAGAATTTATTGATTGGAATAATGACTTAGCATTTATATCATTTGTAATCTTTATTTTTTCCGCTATAGAATTCTTTTCTTCAGAAATATATTATAAATGCTTTAATATATGTTTAAGCCTTCCCACTTTTGGTTCCCACCTACTTCCCTCACACCTACTTCCCTGAAAAGACTTGAAAGAACACATTTGAAAACCATTAGCTATTTAATACATTTAGTCATCAAATAATTCCACCCTCTTCAGTTTTACTTGAAGAGATAGGTTCTTAAAAGTTGGGTTGTATGAAATGGAATATGATTTGTGTCCTAATTTTCAGTTGTCATATTAGAACAAAAGAAAGAATAAATTGTATTATAAATGTAATTGCTGGGATCCTTTTCTAAGAATTTCATTATTTTAACCTTTTGCGGTCCAATTTTATTTTTGGAATTCAAACAGTCTGGTCCAAATTAATTGACGGGATTGAATGTTGAACTTTCTAATGTTCTTATTTTAAAGTTTAAACCAAAAATTCACTGGTTATATTATTAAGTATGTTCAATCAAAGAGTTTATTCTTTAAAACATTTCATAGTGTGGTATCTTTTGAAACATTTCCCCACATGCAACCCAGCACCTTACTGACAACGCATATAATCGCAGCGGTTTGCGGTGTCGACCTCAGCTCCATGTTGGACCTGCTCCTAGCACCTGGTCTGTCGAGTCAGCCTGGACGTTGGACTGAAAAGGGTTAAATATTGTACATTAATTAATCAAGTCATAGGACACAGTATTTTCTTTTTATGAAACTAAAAATACTCTTAACATTTCCAGTTACTATATTAAATTAATACATTATTTTTCCCAAATATTTGGTAGCTATTAACCATCTGTAGATATTTTTCAAAATTGTTACTGATTCTGAAAACCCTGTTAACTCTAATTTTATGAACAAATGAAAGGAATAATTAACTGGCAAAATAATTAATCTGTTGATCTAGTCTTACAGTTCACAATAAATGAGTCAAATCTATCAGAGAATTTGTTTTCCCAAGTATGTCCAGTCAAAATAAAGAGAAGAAAAGAGTATCTCTTAATATTTACTTTTGTTTATTAATTGTAAAAAACTCTCTAGATTTGTCTTCATTTTAGAATTAAATATAGGTTGCCATTGGATTGTACTAAAGGTATTTTTTAAATTTCTTATACAACACTGAAAGAAATACGAGAGTTATACCCAATAACAAACTATTGCCATAACAAGTTAATTTTTCTTTTTTTTTTCTTTTTTGCCTCATCTTATATATATAGTACAAAATTGAGGTTGGCATTATTTTGCCTGCGATGATATATTGTTTATTACACAAATTATAAACATTTTCAGAATCCTATGTTTATTTACTATTAATAACATCATTATAACAAGTAATTGTGAACTTTTTCTTCTTACCCTAGAGCCCTTTTTGATTATGACAAAACTAAAGACAGTGGCCTTCCCAGTCAAGGATTGAACTTCAAATTTGGAGATATCCTCCATGTTATTAATGCTTCTGATGATGAATGGTGGCAAGCCAGACAGGTTACACCAGATGGTGAGAGTGATGAAGTTGGGGTGATTCCCAGTAAACGCAGGTAAATATAAGTCCATTACAGTCTTATCCCTTGCAAGTTGGGCAACATAAACAAATAAATGCTGTTCTTTTAAATTTATTTTTTGAGGTGATTTTATGCTTGGTTTTCCATATTGTGTTTTACAACCATTTTATTTACCTATATTGTAACCAATAACATAACTAGAGAATATGATGCCCCCAAACAGAAATTTTTCTAAAGCTCCTACTAGTTGCTAAAAAACAAAGTATTTTTTAAGACACTATGCCATGTATCTATGCCAGTGGAGGGAAAGAGAATTAAAAGCCTCTATAGTTTTCCCATTAAGGTACTGTTAAACCTAAATTTTCAGGGCTTCTGATTGTTTTAGACGTAAAAAAATGAAATCCTTGTAAATAAATGCAAAATGTTTAGAAATATCTGGTGATATGTTTCACATCTCTTCTTGCTTAATTTAGAAGTATTCATGCAATCATGCCTTTCCTCTTTGCATTTAACCATTTATGATAATATTTTTTTGGTGGATACTTATAGCTAGTGGCAAAAATGGTTAAGTGCAGATTGTCTTGGAAAGAATGATTCCACCTTAGACAACCTCCTCTAAGATCTATGAAATGTCTCTTCTTTTGTAGGAAAGGTATTAAATAGCAGTTCATAATTCCCCTAAAGTAGTTACTTATGAGATCCAATTCATCCAAATCTTTGCCTAAAAGTTCTTTTTTAAGTTTTAAGATAGCCAGTAAAAATTAATGATGTGACATTAATATTTATTATAGACTAGAGGCCCAGTGCATGAATTCGTGCATGGGTGGGGTCCGGCCAGCCCAGCCCCAATCAGGGTGGATCGGGGCAGGGCCTGTCAGGAGGAGGAGATGACAGGAGGTTGGTTGGCCAGCCCACCCTGATCGGGGCCCATCAGGGCCAGGCCAGCTGGGCAGAG